TCTCACAAAATTAAATACTTTCGACGATATATTAATTTAAAATATCGTGTGACGTCACAGCGTGTCACATTTTGTAACACGTTATGACGTAACAACCTCCTACTCCTAAACTTAGCGCCATTTTATCTAAGTATTGCAACTTAATACGAGAAAATAAAAAAATACGTGTCTAATATTTTTTCATTATCTAACTGACGGACTAATTAGATTTTTAATTTTGATATCCTGGAAACTACCCAATTTCTAAAGACTTGAATATACAAAGTCAATCAACAACTGTTAATTTGTATAGATAAATTAAAAGAACATTTTTGGCTTACTTAGGTGCTATTTTAATGAGACTAAAAAAAAAATTCTTCCGTTGATCGTTATCACACTAATATCATAAATGTGTAAGTTTCTTTGGATGTTTGTCCGTCAATCACGCTGAAACTACTGAACGGATTTTGATGAAATTTGGTTCCAGGCAGGGTTTTTTTTAAAGGCGGTAATTCATCGAATGACTGCTCCCGCCCTTCGTGTCAGACTCTTACTGACTAAAAACCACCCCGTTCCTTCTCCTGCACTTCGAACCGAAACCCCGGTAACCCGTTAGGTTCTCTGCGACACACAGACAGGGTATAGGTTGATTTAGGTGATATGATACTTTTTATCCCGATTAAATGGATGGGATGAAACAGGAATACGCGGACAAAGCTGCGGTTAGTTGAATATTATGTCCTACCTACTTTACAATAAATCTTACTATATTATAATAACATATGCCATAACAAAATGAAGTCTTAGGATGAAATATGACGTATTTTTGTTGAAACTGAATTGTTTTTTTTATTGTGTGAATTGGTCGTGCCCTCAATTATTTTTTTATCCCCACCTATTGTTTGAAAACTTAAAAACAAAACTGTCTTATGTGAATAGCTCATATTTTAACCTTTGTACATTACTGTACTGTATGAGATGAGTTATGAACTCAATAAAATTGATAATAGTAATTATTTAGCTGTTGTTTTTTTGTCTCTGGTACCGTAGAGTATCTGTTGGATAAAAATGAGAATGAAATTAACCCGTCGAGCGTCCGAGTTCCCTATGATCCAAGGGTACACACGTGACATTTGGAGAAAGAAAGAAATAAAGAAAGAAAATGCATTTATTTGGCCATTGGCACACGAAAACAAGGATCATTACAATAGAAATAAAAAATACAGTCAAAATAAAAACAAAACATTAATAATAGATTTTATAAAAGAGAAAGCAGCATGGAGCATTTTTTCTTATGATCCACCGGGTTGAGCACGTTGAGGACGCTCGAGGGGTTAATTAGTTTGTACTATTTCGTAGTTAAATGTATCAGTTTGAGGTAAGTTAGGACCTATTAAGTTAGTTCTGAATATTGTTAAATATTGGACCATTGTACACAATAGGATAATTTAAATGAGATGCTGACATTACATGACATTACCCAGCTATATCTTATGTTTTACTCTATTATGTAATAAAATCTGGGATTCGAACCCAATGTCGATTACTCGGCCAATAGATTGCCTAACTTATTGTTAATTTATTATATTTGATGTATTTTTGCCTGTCTCAATATATTTTGTAGTTTCTAAATCCTTGTACCTGATTATAAATCTGTACATTTTAGAAACACAATAACTTATGTATTTATTGTACTTATGTATAAATAAATAAATGAAACACACACCGTAATATAATTAAAATTATTTATTATCCTTCATCATATTTCTAGCATACTAAACGTAATAAGTGTATAATAATAAATAATTGAATAGTAATTTAGTTTTTAAAATATTTCAGCAATATACATATTAATAACTCGATAATAGGTTTAAAAGTTCAATAACTAAATTATGACATGCAAAGTAGGCGAATCATTATTGTATTAGTTTCATAATTAACTTGTATCTATGAACATTGAACATATTCCACAATTTGCTAATAATTTGTCCGTTTATACTACACTAATAATAATAAAAGTTCATAAATATAAAAATTAAAAATGAACGATTAACTAGCGACGTTTCAAAAGTGATCATAACACTCTTTATTTATTTATTCTTTACAAATCTTTGGCGAACTATAACAATATATGAGAATAAACATTTCAATGGCTAGCTAATAAGTACGGGATCTCAGTGTGGGGACACGTCTCTGCGTACGTATTACTCGTGTGAGGTGCAGTCGGCCCAGTCTCAGTAACGAAATAATAACTCCAATGCTATAATCGAATACTCTATAAAAGTTAAATAGTAGGCGACTTTAACAAGTCTCTTAAAAACTTTATTTAAAGATTGAACGTATTTATTTCAGTGTGTCTTCAACTGGGCAGACTGGTCAACGACTCCATTAAACAATAATTTCTCTAGTGTATTTATTTAACTAAATTGTTTAGTACAACAACTTGGGGCTGAGTGTTAGCGATGAAACAAACTGCTTGGAGGCAGCCTCTGTACAACGTTCAATATCGCGAACATCCGGTGTTGTCGATTTCTAATTTATCTATCGATAGGTAGCCTGAAACTATCGATATTGGTACACGCGTTCAACTCTTAATTTTTATCTATTTTAGTATAACAATTTGATGAATAAATCCCAGTTATAGAGATGGTTTGATCCCAGCTCACAAACTTTATCAATGTTACTCGTTTTGTGAAACTCGTGTACCGATATAGATAGTTGTCTTAACACTAATAATAATAAAATTAATTCGAGTTAGTTTAATAAAATGATATAGTTATGGCATCAACATTGTACATATCTGGTAACGCATTACGAGTGTAGGAGAGCAACATAAAGTGTCGTAAGTATATAGTGTAGGTTGTATGGACGATCATTACAAGCGTATATCACAGGCACCGTGTGGTGTCCCTTCGTAAGCTATACATATGCAAACAGATACACGGAGATATTCAGGATTATTCGGGGAAATATAAACACCAACTCTGAAGGCATTCTCATATATTATATTTTGTTTGAAACGACTGAAACACTACCTTAGTTTATACATAAATATTAGATGGTCTTTTATTTACACAATGTTATAGTTATATTAATTTAAAGGGCATATATTTATTCTTCATATACTATTTTACAGTTATAATACATTGGTGGGTGGCATCGAGTGTGGTCGATGATCGATTATATATAAAGACCAATCTTTTACAGAATCTTAATCGATTACAAGTGTCAGGTCCCGAACAAGCCTGAACACATACCGTTCTCGTTCACTCTTAAACTATTCCAATATAAGTTATCCAGAACAATGTAAGGGACATAGTTTACGAGTATTTAATTGGTTCACCATTTTATACATCTTGGGTTTTATCAGGCGACTGAGAACCTTTGTAACGTGAACACGAGCTTCATCTGCACAGAATGTAGTTACAAGCTATCTTCAAATTCGTGTTGTAAGTGGGCTGTCCAGTACAGTTCAGTATCGGCTTCAGTCCAGTCGCCCGTATAATTTTACCCTACATTTTATCAAGTATGGCGTGTAACCATTCTAAAAAACGGTTAATGATTATGAATTCCACTTAGCATTAACACAGCGACACCCTGTCACCCGCCCGGGCGGTCCCGGGGCAAAAGGCTAGTAAGCTCCTAAAGATATGACGTCATATGTATGTACAAATCGAATTACTGTGGAACATAGGTACACACGCAGTCCCCGCGGCCGGGCCCCGCACCGACCCGCTGCCTGCAGTAAGCGTACACTACATCTACAATAAGTTCTGTTACTTGGCAGTTCATATCTCTACGCTAGGATAAATCCTTGACACTATCTATTAAGTACTTTGAAGTCGGTCAGCGTGTACGAGTACGGGGCTCCAGAGGCCGCGGTCGACATTACAATTTAAAAATAACCTGTGACGTCTGTCCAGAGTCGATAACTAGTAAGAATCCAGTAGGGTAGGTGAAGCAAACTAGGGAACTGATATCGGTAACAATATATAATTTGAGTTGTTACGGACGGCGCGATATTGCGGCGCGCCGAGTGCCCGCGACGCCTCACGCGAGCACTCTCCGCGCCGCTTACAATCTTTAGCTGAACTATGAGAGTAATCTTCTCTACCTAAATCATACTCCAATAACTTGCCCTAAGGTAACTTTAAACCTCTAACTTAACCAAACGGTTATACCATTCATAACTCGTGCTCTACCATTCTATACCGATAAATTATCTCAATTAACCTTAACTAATCTAAAGGTAGGGCTGCTGCAGTAACAGTATTCTGGATAACTTATCAAAAATTAAATTAGTAGTATATTCTCATCTCATATAATATAGTAGGTTTATGTGAAAATATGTCGATCTAATGAAGTAAGTTAGGAAGTTAAGATAACAACGAGTGTCTAGTAGTACATGCCAGTACTAGAGAGTGCAGCTAGTACAGCTGAGGAACGCAACAGTAACAGGTACACGCTAGTACACAAATAAGACAAGTACGATATAATAAAGTAAGTACGAACGTGTGCTTGAAGCTAAACTATGCTAAGCGATAGAAAAAATAAATAACAGAAAGGAGATATGACTAGATCGTTTTGTTTCAATACTAGAACCTACTATTCATAAAAGCACTATGCGCTCTCTCCATATTTTTATTATATAAATAGATATAATATGATTAATAATTCCCGATTCTAAGGTTTGTTTTTTTTCTGATTAAAATATTGGCATTCATCTTATGTACTAAGTAACATCGAGCGGGGCGCGGCGGGCGCGTTGTATATCGCGCGAGTGACGTCACGCCCGCCCCTGCCGCCCGCGCCCGACCTCTAACTAACTATATCGCCTTAATACGACCCGCCTTCGATTCGCATACCGCTTACCAACGATTCAAACGTCCTTGAGTGCATCGATCATGTTCACGTGTACGCGTGCGCTACCACGTATTGGAGTATGCGAACGATATATATAAATATATTATAAAATGTCAGGAGTTAATAGTTTTTAGAAATTCGATTTCGTAATACTAAGAATGTTGTTGATGTGTCGCGAGTGGCGTCGCGTGACGTCGCGCTGCCGCGGAGTGACACGTGACAAGTGAGTGAGGATACTTCAGTAACGCAGTGGCACTAACTGGGGTGAAGATGTCGCCTGTCGGCTGTCGGAAACGAAGCGAGCGAAGCGCGTCAGTTGTCGAGCAGTAGAATGGACAGCGTGAGATGAGGATGAGGTCGGTTACGCTACAGTACGAGACAGTATAAAAAGTAGCGACAGACTAGTGGACCCGAGAGTGATGCGGCGCGCTGCCGCCGGGCACGTGTGCGAGTCGGACTCTACGGCAGACAGTCGGCAATATCTGCCTTCGTGAAAATTATTTAGATACATTTAAATAATTGCAAAGCATACCCTGTATCCTAGAATCACTTTTACGGCGATTGTTTTATACATTCTGAAAGGACTCATTAATCTATTACAAATGTTCGCGTCTCCGCAATATATTTTTAGGGAATTTTAATTTTAATCAGTATAAAGATATAAGTACACAATATTATTAATCGTCCCGGGCGGTGCCCGGGCGCATTACGCCTACATTACCCACGAGGTGATATTATCGATAGTCGATATACTAAGTATACGTGTTCGGGTTTGGCATCCATTTGTGTATCTGTAACCTAAGTCGGTCGCGGCGCGGCGCTGCCGCCGTCGGCGTTGCACTCAACACTTACGACCCGAGCGCGACCAATGGCGGCCAGTGGCCACCGTCCTCGGCGTCACTGCCCGCCACAAGGGCCAGGGTGACCACACACTTCCTAACCATACTGAGGCCGGCTCGCAGTCGGTTTACGAAACGAGACCACGTCGACGAATTATCTACAACGGTAACGTAAGAAACATCCATAAAATAAATACTTAATCAAATAAATACGAGGCTAAAACAATTATAAAAAGCGTAACAACGTATTGCACAACGGTGAGATAAGACTTTAGAGAAAAGAACTAGAGAACACTTAAAACGATTTACTTATGTTTTTTTTTCCAATATCGTTTAAACACACTGCTTACTTGTAAATCATAGTATCGCCTAAAACTAGAATACTATATCAATATAATATAATTATTTGTGTAAATATAAAATTCTATGTCTTGTGGTGAGTGTAATATTTGACTAGAGCGGGCGGCGTGGCGGAGGGCGGCCCGGGACAGGCCCCTGCGTGTGGGCTCCGCGACCCGGGCCGGGCCCTGCGCGTGGGCCCCCGCAGCCCGGCGTAGGCCAGTGTGATGGTCCCACGGCCGGGCCCCGGGCCCCGCCGGCCGCGCCGCGCGTGCCACGCTGTGCGACTCGCCCGCGCGCACACAATATATCTAAGGTATCTCGTATTATTATATATTTATATTGGTACTTTTCTTGATTATGAATCTATTTCTTCAGTAGAAATTACACTAGTTTTGTATTCTGTTAGTTCGCGCACCACTCACTGTTGACTCCCGGGACGCATTAAGTCACAGTTATTGTATTCAACACCTTAACACGAATAGTTTTTATATATGTATAATGTATAGACACTCACACACGAATGCTTTAAACAAATTAGGGGAAGCGCGCTCCGAGAGAATTGACATCGCGACCTCGCGAGTGTGCCGCGCGCGCGCCTCGCGCCCTCGTTGCTCGGTATTGTCTAATTAACTATCTACAGATGTTTTACATTCAGAATCATTTGTTCTGATAACAAAATAACAAAATTTGTAACGTAATTTCATGACACAGAGACATTTTCAGGAATTTCCTTTTAGTATGTACAAAAATAAATAGTGATTTTTCTTTACAGCAAATCTCTGAAAATGCCCCTATCATGATCGTTTTGCTTGTAAGAGTATTATATTTATACTTTATACTGCAGGAAAGTTCAGTTTAGATAACAATAACAGAGCAGAGTTGAGAAAGAGAGTGGAATGTGAGAGTTGGTAAGATGTCGGTTTGGCAGGAGGGGCGCGGCGCGCGGTCGGCTCGGGAGCGGTACACACATATGCAATACAGAGACGAACGGCCTGTACAGTCCATTATGTTGATATTATATTTTTTATATCACAGCCCATATTGGAATTTACAACACATAATAACACGATCTTTTGAAACGAAGGCCTAAGTATTGAATCATGAAGTGCACTTTGATTTGTACACAGCGTTAATACAAACATTTAATTTTGTCAACAACATCGTTCACTAACATGTAGGTTTGTGAGGTTGCTGGCCGTACCATGGACAGACAGACGCGTCATTACAACGTGCTACTCAATTATACATAGTCGTAGTTACAAGGTATATAATATAACTGTACATTCGCCGCACACTGTTGTGTCGTGGTAAATCGCAGGGTACAGTACATTGTCATCTCGAGTAACGCCGTGAGAGAATGTCGTGTGGTACGAGCCAGCCACATAGCTTACACACATACACACACACATTAAAATTTAACAAAATATAGGACATTATAAATACTCCAATAGTGATCTATGCGAGCACTTATATTAGTGTGATCAGTTCGGCGGGGGGAGACAACAGTGTCTGCGCGCGCGCGGCGGGCGACGTGCCGGACAGGACCGGACCGAGCCGGACAGGGCCGGACTGGCCAGACAGGGACAGGTAGGCCGGCCCGGCCGGACACACTAGACAGGCCGGACTGGCCAAGCAGGCCCACCTACTCTTTGTCGTATATCGGCTACCTGCCAGGCACACGCGCGCTATCGCCCGCGGCGCTGCGTTTCCTTGCAATATACAATCATTAAAATACACTTTTTTTCTTACATTTTCAACTTACTTAATAAATTCAGTTTGGCTTAGTTCAAGCAAATAACTAGTATAATAAATTTATGTTAAAAGTTTCAGTTAAACGTTAAGTACTTAGAAGTAGAAGTATGATTACGAATGACAAAATTTTTATAACGTGTCATTTTATAATAATAATAATAATTTAATCAAAGTTAATAAATTGTATATATAATAATATAATAGAGTAATTTAATGATTAATCGATAATGATAAGAATGAAGCATTCCTACGCGCTGATTTAATAAATTACTTTTAACTAATTTAGTATACTCGCCGAGTGGGCTTGCATAATTCTTTAGGTAAGTATGTAGGTAATGATATTTGCTATACAATAAATGTGTAGTAAATTCCATAGAATTGTTGATAACACGCGAACTGGCGCGCCTCGGGCGTGCCGTGCGCTCCGGCCGCCACCTGCAACAACATCGCTCTCATTATTTACTGACCTATCTCGATGCCACTGTTATACCACATTAGCACATATTCAGGGTCGTCTACGTACCATGGGCACGCGATGAGCGCGCAGGGACGGCGTCTTGGGTTAGTAAGGCCGATTGGCATCCTTGGGCCGCTTAAGTTGGACCTTCAGCCGCTTCATGCCAATCTGAAAGCCGTTCATCGCTTGGATCGCCGCCTGCGCCGACGCCGGGTTATCGAACGATACGAAGCCTGGAATAAATATCCAGTTCATTTAGTATTTTCAATCAAGTGTCAAGATTTATATTTAATGTATGAAGTTGTTATTTTTATCTTATGAAATGTAGGTAGTTGTAAAATTACAACGAACCGAAACACTTGCTCTGGTTGGTGGCGCGGTCGATGAATACTTTGCTGCTGATGACGTTGCCAAAGGGCAGAAACATCTGCATCAACTCGGCGTCCCCGAACTCCTGCGGCAGGTGGTAGATGAACAGGTTGCAGCCCTCGGGGCCCGAGATGGAGCAGCCTGGGAACATAAGAAAATCTTTAAAGAACTCACAAATCTGCCTCTGAACACCATCACGAAAAGGTTTTGTTAAAGGGAGGGTTATAATAAATGAAGTATTTAAAGGTGATGTTATATTCTTTAATGCGACCGAAGACATTAGTATGAAAGAGGTGATTAATGGAGGTTAAGACGACGCAACTGACGAACTTACTGTGAACGACAAAAGTTATAATTATTAAACCAAAATCTGAAGTTAGAGAATAAAAAAAGTTAATACGTTACATGTTACAAAGACACATATCCATAGAACAGCGATACGACAGACACAAAGATGCACATGACATGTAGTGTACAGCGACAGACGTGTGGTACGGTACAGCAGAAGCTAGTGATTGTGTGGAAGACGCTGATCGTAAGCCTTCGGTATGTCACTGTATACTTGAAAGAATACCAACTATCACATAAACACATAAACTGAAGACAACATCAAATGCTATCCAGCCAAAATATCAGTGGATGAAGAAGTATATGATGTTATTGCATCCTGTATTATTATCAAACTTATTATATTTGTGGCTGAATAACAAACAGTACATATAACAAAATCAATAAAACTCCAGTGATATAATGTCGAGTTTACTGATTTTCGATGATCTCCGTGAACATCAAGAGCTGGTTAATGGAAGTGGATGAAATCGTCTGCTGAAGTACTGGGTTAGTTCCATGGCCTCGTCCTCGGAGCTCCACTTACCTTCTCTTTGCGCAGGCGCAATCGTTGACATCGGTGGCGGGATGGGCTGCGGAAACTGCCCATATACCGCTGGATAAGCTGTAGAACATTAATTTGCACATTTTCACAATGAACACCTATAGTTGCGTACATATACATGCATGTAACAACATTATTATATAATAATAATCAAGCTAAAATAATATCCATTGATATACAATTAGTTTTCTTTTTTTCTTTGCCAATTCTTATATTTTTTGTTTCAATTTTGGTGGATAAAATAATAGACATATAACATTGAACACAAACTACTATTGAGTACTACAGTAACCATAATATCGAGTAGCGTGATTTGAACAGCGCACAGTATCCTTTATGGGTATACACAACAATGTACTAGAAGTCGATCGATCTGCTAAAGACTTTAAGAATGTTCTAATGGAAGATGGATATGTGGTAGCAGATCAATCAATCAGTAGATAAATATAATTTAAACAACATATAAACATCAGTTTCCCTTGCATCGGCAGAATTACAATATATACCATTCATTCAAAATACACAGACTTATGATAATTACTGAATACTCATTCTATACAAAAGTTGTGAAATATTTGCTGTTTGTTGCTAAAAGAAATCAATTTTAAGAGTTGTGAAAGCACTTTCGTCTTTAAGTATGGTGCTTAAAATTCAAATATCTTTTAGCAACAACGTGGCTAACATTAAGTTGAATTGACCAATAGTTAATATGGAACTTAATGGTATCGATTCCAAAAATTACTGCAACTATCCCAATTTCAAAAATTATCTTTGATTCACCAGCAAATGATTTTTGTTGCGATTAAATTTTGATAATATATTAGTTTGAAATGGTCTATTGGTCAAGTCTGAAGCAGGTAACTAAAGCAGTTCGTGTGTAGGGTATGGGACGATGCCACTCACCGACTCCGGGGAAGGGCTGCATGCCCGGGTAAGCCGCGTGTTGCAGTGCTGCTGCCTCACCGTTGGGCAGGCCTTGTGCAGTTACTGGAACAGCTGGAAAATATGAAACAGACGTGTTATGAAGCTATATTGCTTAATAAAATGTTTTACAGCTTCTTTAAGTACTAAATATAATGTCAGTGGGTCTTTCTAAATTAAAAATTCTTCAGTTTAACTCGACAATAGATAGGTAAAACAAAACAAAGCAGGAACAAACATGGGTGTTCCACAAGGTTCAATATTAGGACCACCGCAAAAAGTGTTACTAATATTCGTTGCCATTGATAAAATACTTACGTCCAGTGAAGGTCTGATGTATGCCATTGGTGTAGACGGCATCTTGCGGTGGGGGCTGTCCGTTAGCAGTCTGAGCGGCCATGTTAAAGCCAGGCATAGTTGGAGAGGGCAACGATGGCAGGGCTCCGTTCAATGGTTGCCCGCCTCCTGTCCCTATCGCTAGTCCAGAGAAGTTATCTGAAATTGAACCATACGTAATAGTTAGTATGACAATATTCGTAGGTTATGTTAGTATAAATCATTATAATAGTAGGCGTGATACAATAAAATGTATAGAAATCGTTCGTTGAAATGACACTTCCAATATTTTGTTTGGTAAAGAATAATATTTACCCGAGGAGGGTGGTACCACAGTGTTCGACATGCCGTTGAGAGCGTGCGAGGCGAGTGCTGTCATCGGACTGATGTAGCCCTGTGCCGTCGCAGCGACCATCAACGCTGCTTGTTGCTGTAATATACAAAATAATACATTATATCGACGTACTAAAAGACACGTAATTATGTGTAGCTACATAGAATGCTAGGTAGATTTAGTGATAAATATGAAACTTGGGAAAAAGTTTATAATATTACTTCCATGTTAAATCACAATTCCCTTATACTGTAGACCTTCTACACGTTCAAAGCATGTAGCTCTATCAATTACTAAATACTAAATGTATACGTCTTCTTGAAGTGCTACAACGCTATTGAGATTAAATAGGATCAAGTTAATGTGAGCCGTGTAGTATCTATGAAGCTTCGTAGCGTATTGTCTACGGCGTAGCATGTAGTACTACGCTGAGCGATTATTGTCGTATTCTGTACATAATCGTGAACTACATAATTACACTATGTTATTGTGTCGAACCTAATCTCACATAAATCTTAGAATAAAGTGGGAAGTGTTTCAGAAATCTGGAAGGTTTTCTTGAGTGAATAATGAAACGGTCATTTATGTGACATACGAAATCTACGCCTACGTATTCAAGAACGGTCTCAATAATTCAGGAGACTAATGTCAGTTATTCATGCTTTTATGTAGATAAAGTCTGTTTTCGAAAACAGATTTTCGTACTTAAGCTTTCGAGGAGAACGTAAAACTTTTTCTTCCATTTACAACATATTAAAGCTATCTCTGAAAGGGTCTAGACACATAACGTGAGGTATTTATGAAGTTAGTTGTAAAAAGTTTGCTACCACGGAGGTTGCAATATTGCATGTTACACGCTTATCAATTTTCATCAGGCCGACAATGCAGGTATTAAAACTTTTGATTTACGAACTGTAGTTGAGGAGATATTATTAATTTTTGAAAATTTCTACTAATTTTAAAGTAAAAAAAATGTTTACTGGCTGATGTTCAGAAATTTGTTGAAGCTACGATTTTTCCTTATACACATTTCTTAATAACATCTATTCTGTTTGATGAATACTGAGAATTAAACTGGTTTCCAGTGTGTGTATTGCAGGTATGTTTGCGATTCTTACCTGTTCCGTGATGACTTGTGCGTAGGTACTGTAGGCTCCGAACTGATTGAACACGAAGGGGTTGAGCAGACTCATATTACCAGCCATCTGCTGCATGCGCCGCAATTGTCGTTCCTTTTCTGTATCTGCAAACTTTACCACGAGGCTCGATGACGCACCCTGTAACAATGTAACGAAACTTTTCACATTTTGGACTCTGTCATGTAAACAAAACATTGTACTTTTGCTATCAAGAGTCAAGATAATTTCTGATTGTATTTTATACTGTCGTCGAGTGAACAATTTGTAACAGTAAATAGCAAAAGTTGTGCACTTTGTGCTTTTGATTTTGCCCCTAATAGAGAGGAAAATTAATCCCGCCGCTGCAGGAGCGCAGATACGACGTTGACCTCTTTAAAAATGCAGCAACAAAGCCCTCGTGAATATTAAAACTGCAATAGCAGACGCGTAAAGTGCTCCCCGGGCTATAACAACGGCAATCCCACAAACTAGGGTACAACAAAACGGTCGGCACAATACCGACAGCGAAACGTTCAGCGTTCGCATTCATTATGTATTTGCAGTCGGAGTACAGGCAAAAATGGGTGGGCGCGGGTAGGCCCGGCACGAGCGCGCAACAGGTTTCCTCCCCATAGTTGCAACAAGTTATTTGGGCTCACATCCAAAAATGCATCGGCCGAGACGTTCCGCGAAGTTGGTCGGGCAGGAGCCTCTCTTGCGGAAAACTGGCTTCCTTCCGAGCTCGGCCACTATCTCCGCAGCCGGCCGCGGCCTGCGCCAGCCGGCCGGCGGGCGGGCGCGCGATGTTAAGTACGCGTTAATTGTCGGCGCGTGTTTGCTAAAAGTATTTCACAGTTGAGCGCGAGCGTGGCCGCGCATAACATTTCACTATTGAATTATTCCGTGACGGTACGTATTTGTTTCGTCGATTCCATTGTTTGATATTTTCGATTTCCGGTTTATGCAAACGTTGTGGTTCCCGCTTAAAAGCTTTCGGTCCATTTTGTTTTTGATCCTCAATAAAAATGTAAGTATTTTTAAAAGCGGCAATACATTAAAATGATTGTTGCTATATAAAAGTAAGATAAGATACTTTAGCAATTAGTTAACTAAACAGCGCGCGACGTTTACGAGTAAGCAAGTTTGTAATTTAATGGAGTTGGTTAAGTCATTAAATTATTATTAACGTAAAAGATTAATGGTAGTATTAAGGCTCTCAGAAATTTGCTTTAGGTACCGGTTGATTAATGTTTATGTTATGAATAAATATTTGAAAAAGTTTTGTTGTAAAGTGCTTTAAAACTATTTGCTTAGTGTAACATTTATAAGTAAGTATGAGTAGTAATCTGGTTTAATGTTACGTTGCGTGTATATAGATACAGGATGATATAAATCCGTGCGCGGGTTGAGGCGACAAATGGCGGCGGCATGGCGTCGCGTGTCACATGAGCGTCGAAGGTGACGCTAACAAATGCGCCTACATTACTCTCGCAATGTGAGAGCACGGTATGTTGCTACTACAGTATACATACAAATAGTGCTATAGACACTTTTTATCTTAATTTAATATGCACCTGGTTTTCAATAATCTATGCTAAGTGTGACTAGTATTCATGACAGTCTTGATATTATCAGCTCAGGAAATATTGGTACTATACATACGCACACTATAAACAGTCACAACACATCTTAAACCGACTTTCATTCATATTAAGTTCCCTTGTTTCCATGACATATGTGTACCTGTATTTTATATTTATTTTTGTCAAACTTATATTATACTATTTTATTAAACAATTAAATGCATATCTTAGGATACAATTATACTTATAACTTACAAGATGACTCAGGAAAGTTAATACCACCTCAGAATTAAAGAACATACATAACACATACATACATAACATCACGCCTTTTATCCCCAAAGGGGTAGGCAGAGGTGTACATTATGCCACTGTGCAATGTAACACCCACTTTTCACGATTTATGTTATGAGTCCCATGTAATAGAGGGTGAGCCGATGAAGTCGGTAAAAAACCCAGTAATACTTTACCAGGAATTGAACCCGGGACCCCTTGCCCGGAGGTTCCACTTGCGACCAACCGGCCGGCGACGCAATTAAAGAACATATTAAACGAAATACATAACACACCACAAACAATATATTAATAATAATTTCTCCGTTTTTATTTTAAGTTATTTTTTTTAACAATAATAAATAACTAATCAACACAACTTAGCTTTACATAGAACTAACATAACATCACGCCTTTTATCCCCGAAGGCAGAGGTGCACATTATGCCACTGTATAATGTAACACCCACTTTTCACTATTTATGTTATGAATCCCATGTAATAGGGGGTGAGCCTATTGCCATATACCGGGCACAATTCGAGACTCCGTGCTACCACTGAGATTTTTTTTAAAAACCCAATAATACTTTGCCCGACCCGGGAATCGATCCCGAGACCCCTTGTCCGGCAGTCGCACTTGCGACCACTCGGCCAACGAGGCAGTATAGTACATAGAACTATAAAATATATAACACAAAGTCACATGACTATAATTTTCCCCTGCAAAATCTCGAATTTAAACAGCAATCCTTGGCTCGATCCTCGCAGTATAATTCTAAGCGATCCAGGTCAAGTTACCCGTGCCTTTAGATGTGGCTTCACTGAAAGCGTACTTTGAAGTAGTCGACTTAATACTGATAATTGATTTCTATTAATAGATTTAAAAGCTCACTTGATTGGGGATTACTTGTTATTTGAGGGGTTAAATGGCTTCCATTGGTTTTGTGATTGATTAATTAATTAATTTAAGATATTTTTGATATTCGTTAAGAATAAGTTACGTTTAAAATTATTTAAAAGCTATAAAGTAATTGTAAAAAAGTTTATGATTACTCTTGATACTGATTAATAATGTTTAATGTCGATCATAGTATCATAAATAAAATAATGAGAAATAACAATCATATCAATAGGTGCACATTACGGCACTAAATGCCACTGTACAATGTAACACCCACTTTTCACTATTTATGTTATAACTCCCATGTAATCGGGGGTGAGCCTATTACCTAGCCTATACCGTACACATTTCTAGACTCCATGTTACAACTGAGATTTTTTTTAAAAAACTCCGTCAAACTTTGCCCGACCCGGGAATCGAACCCTAGTCCCCTTGCCCGGGTCGTATTTGCGAACACTCAGCTAACGAAGCAGTCAAATAAAAATCAATTAATAAATAATTACATTCAAATATCTCGAACGTCATTCCGAAATAAACAATACATGGCAAAATGTTAAACGATTAAAGTCGAAATGTGCGCAAGTTACTAAACCCATCAAGATTCTCATTAAAAATGAATCACAAACTATTATAATGTAAATAAACGTAACACAAGACAGCAGAATAATCTTCTTTCGTCGTTGCCTTGTGAGCTAAGTTTTATTATCTATTTTATTAGGTAATCGCGTCGCGGCCCCGTAAGGGGGGACATGGGGCACATTCGTTACGTCTCCTCTGCAATTAACGGGACATTATTAAACTCTTAATTGCTCTTGTGTAAGTTCACTCTCGCTTGTATAATTTATATGTTTATTGTACACTGTATTTATAGTTGTTGGAAAACGTGCCGGTATAAAATTATCGTGTGTTAATAAATTTATGAACACATTAATGTTATTTGTTATGTATTAATTAGCGTATGTTATATTATCATAATAAGTTTTGATAGTAAATCACTTTATTGTTATCTATTATAATGTATCGTGTTTGAAGTTCCCACAACAATTGCTGCGTAGCACGTAGCAATGCTACGGCGTAGCAACGTCGTAGCACAACAGCTACGGACAGTATTCTCGATTTTGTTTATGTAATTTTTTTCTAATATCATTAAATATGAAACATATTGAAAAGAAAGTAATAAAGGATCCTAGAGAATTTCCTAGCTAATAAAAGTAAGTCTAAACATTAGAATTGCTATAAAATCAATAGGTTCGGCAATAAAATGTAGGTAAAGGAACAAACCGTAGACTAGTCACTAGTGTATAACTATTGTGACAATAAACATGTCAGGGGCCAGTGTAAACAACACACCTCCAACGATTTAGTACTTAAGTCGAGCTAGAAGTAAAATAGAACTAACTGACGTCTCGGTTGCGATGATAGGTTGGACCGGATGTGTTCAAAATTCAGGTTTTAGTGTTTCAAGTTTATGATATTCAAATAAGTGTACGTCTTTTATTAAGAAAAATAAGAGCTCTTTCTATTTCACTATAAGTCCACGGTCTGATGACGACTTGCGATAATTAGATGTATATTTTATTATTTATAGAACCTGTTACGATTATGATATCCTAGAGACAAAGGCCCTTATAGCCGTTTTCCCCAACCACCTCTTAACTAAGAGTTACTTAGCGTGAGGACCCTAAACTGAGTTACTTGTTCTGTTAGGTGTCAGTTGAAGGTATGATTGATTCATAATATGATTGTTATTATTGGTTACCCATCTTAACTAAGGGGTTCCTTAAAAAAACAGGCATTTCTGTGCTATAAAGCAATATATCTTTCAAACAATCTCATTAAGACTAATAACGACAGATAGTGCCAATTAGACTAATCGACCGCGCAAGATATATTTATGTGCGATCTAAGAAGGGTCAGCTACAAGACTCCCAATATTCAACGGCTAATTATGTCCTTCATTAGGACATCTATTGTTAATCTAACATACATAAGTGTGGGAGAGTCATGCTTTGGCACGAATGGGCCGGCTCGACCGGAGTGATACCACGGCCGCACAGAAAACCGACGTGAAGCAACGCTTGCGTTGTGTTTCGTCGTGTGAGTGAGGTTACCGGAGGCCCAGTTACCCTCCCCTTCCCCAATCTCCCCAATTCCTGAATCCCCAAACTCCTAATCCCCAAAAAGCCGGTAACGCACTTGTAACGCCTCTGGTGTTCCAGGCGTCCATGGGCGACGCCGATTGCTTACCATCAGGTGATCCATCTGCTCGTTTACCGGCTTATGTCATGAAAAAAAAAACAAATACTTTTCAAATATTCCGAGACTATGCAACCTATATAGTACATGCACAATTCAAGCCAGTTAAATTACTATGTTAAAGGACAACCAATCACTCTGGAAAAA